TGTTTGTTATTTATTTATTTATTTATTTATTTATTTATTTATTTATTTATTTATTTATTTATTTATTTGAATAGGGACCAAGCACATTAATGAACATCAGTATAAAAACAAATGTAAATATGCCGGATTATAGCTACAAAGCTAGTTTTCATCCGTAGTCCCTAGACAGGCAGATACATAAGAAAGAACATATCATATACAATATAAGCATCACAAGGAAATGTTGAGAGTTTAGTGGTCACATGACTGGTTTGTTTACAATAATTTAACGTGCCTGTGTGTGTGTGTGTGTGTTTGTGTGTTTGTTGGGGTAATAGGACTGGATATCCATTACTGGTATTATTCCAGGCCTGGGGGATTATTGTGGATAAAGTCGGGAAAAGCAGGGAAGGGATGGTGAAAGTGGTCTCTTTTTTTATTTATTTTTTTTAGCTCGGCTCACAATTGTCTGGCTAGCGGAGCTAATCCTGTTGTGGTTCGAGATGGAGTAAATGAAATCTTGATTAAAATGCTTAATATGTTTGCAGTCAGGAGAGTCTCCAGCAGCCTATCGCAACATAGAGGGGCTAAAAAAGCTCCGGTTTAGAGGAATGACTCTGAGCTTTCCTCACCATTTGACCGTGCACGTGGTGTGCACTCTTTACTGTCCGGTGTGAGTTTTTATATCAAATACATGCAAAATGAACACGGAATAAAAATAAAAAAACTTTTTCGTTTGAAATTCATCGTCCTCCATGTTATCTTTTGGCCTATTTTGGACCGGTTTGGGCCCCTTTTGGACTGGTTTAGGTCCGTTTTGGGCTGGATTGGTCAGTTTGGACCAGTTTGGGTCCCTTTTGGACCGGTTTGGTTCTGTTTTGGGTTGGTTTGGGTCAGTTTTGGACCGGTTTAGGTCAGTTTTGGGTTGGTTTAGGTCATATATGAACCTGTTTGGGTCTGTTTTGTGTTTGTTTGGGTTAGTTATGGCCAGTTTAGGACCGGTTTGGGTCAGTTTTGGGCTGGATTCTGTTAGTTTGGGTCGTGCGCTCAGCTCCATGGGGCAGGACGGGTTGGAAAATGAAGCTTTTATATCAAATACATGCAAAATAAACAGGAAATCAACACAAAAAAAAATGTTTTCGTTTGAAATCCATTGTCCCGCTATTATTTTTTGGCCTATTTTGGACTGATTTGGGTCTGTTTGGGTTAGTTCTGGTCAGTTTTGGACCGGTTTAGGTCAGTTTGGGGTTAGTTCTGGTCAGTTTTGGGCCGGTTTGGGTCCATTTTGGGCTGGATTGGGTTAGTTTGGGTCATGCGCTCAGCTCCGTGGGGCAGGACGGGTTGGAAAATGAAGTTTTTATATCAAATACATGCAAAATAAACAGGAAATCAACAAAAAAAAAAACCGTTTTCGTTTGAAATCCATCATCCTGCCATGTTGTCTTTTGGCGTATTTTGGACCGGTTTGGCCCCCTTTTGGACTGGTTTGGGTCCATTTTGGGTTGGTTTGGTTAGTTCTGTTAAGTTTTGGCCTGGTTTAGGTCCTCTGGCCAGTTTTGTACCGGTTTGGGTCCCTTTTGGGCTGGATGGGGTTAGTTTGGGTCGTGCGCTCAGCTCCGTGGGGCAGGACGGGTTGGAACATGACGTTTTTATGTCAAATACATGCAAAATAAACAGGGAATCACCAAAAAAAAAAGGTTTTCGTTTGAAATTCATCGTCCCGTAACTTTTGCTATAAAATGCTATTTCAAATGTTTCCACAACGTTATGTTTTATCTTAGTTTGCATAAATGAACTTAAATAGATGATGAAATTACTAGTTCTAGTTTTTTTGGCCTTAGGTTGAAGTAAAACACCCAAACTTGCGCACCTTCACGAGAAAAAAACAAAAAAGACAACTGAACGTGCTTCTTTTTTGGCCGCTTTACTGCAAAAAAGTGAGGATTTAACACAACAGCTCCTCGGTCAAATGTACCA